ACCAGGCGGTTCTCGGGGACCCCCAGGATCACCTCGTGGTGGAGGTCGCCGCTGCCGAAGTGCTGGGCGAGGGCCAGGCCGCTCAGGCAGTAGCAAGTGTGGTAGAAATCCCGAGATCTGAGCCAAAAAAGGAGAGAGATTTAGGTGCTGAGCGGGACCCCAGGAGCCCGCCGGGCAGCCCGTGGCTACCGAGAGGGGGGACTCACTTGCCAGGCCTGGCGGGCAGGCCCCCAGCCGGGGCCGGGGAAAAGGAGAGAGATTTAGGTGCTGAGCGGGACCCCAGGAGCCCGCCGGGCAGCCCGTGGCTACCGAGAGGTGGGACTCACTTGCCAGGCTTGTCGAGCAGCCCCCCAGCCGGGCACTGGCAGCACAGGAGGATGTATTCCTGCAGCGCAGACTGGTCGAACATCCAGCGGGTCATGTCCAGCGCCTCGTCGCCTGCGTGGAACCCACAGCAATGCCCAGGGGGGTGGCAGAACCCCACGCCGGGGACCTCCCGCGCCCCACCGAGGGGTGGGGACGGCCAGGGGTGAAACCTCACGGGCAAGAAGCCGTGGGGAGCACAAGGGTCCCTGCGAGGCCCTGAGAACAGGGATGTGGGGACACCCGAGTGGCTCTGCGCTTGTTTCCACCTCACTGAATGCCAACCTCAGCTGGGGAAGGGGATGGGGAACAAGGCCTGGAGCCCAAGTGTGGGGAGGAGCAGCTGAGGGAGCTGGGGGTGCTGAGCCTGGAGCAAAGGAGGCTCAGGGGAGACCTTCTGGCTCTGCACAGCTCCTGACAGGAGCCTGGAGCTGGGAGGATGTCAGGCTCTGCTCCCAAGGGACAAGGGACAGGACAAGAGGCAATGGGCTGAAGTTGCCCCAGGGGAGGTTTCAGTTGTCCCTGAGGAACAGTTTCTTGCCCTGGAGGGTTGCCCAGGGCTGTGCCAGGCTGCCCAGGGCAGTGGTGGAGTCCCCACCCCTGGAGGGGTTCCCAAGCCATGGAGATGTGGTGTGAGGGACACGGGGCAGTGGACACCTGGCAGCACTGGGGAAGTGTTGGACTGGATGAGTCTTTTCCACCCCAAACAACGACTCTAAAACAATTCCATCCCTCCCCGGCTCCCAGACTCACCCCTGGCATGGAGGGCACGGTGGAGCAGGGGCAGGAGCCCAGCCTGCCAGAAGGAGTAGCAGCCATCCACCAGCTTGTTGCAGCGGCCCTGGAAGCCGCCCTCGAAGCGCATCTGCCGGCCGGTCACCCAGCGCTGGGGAGGGGGACAGGGAGACAAGGGTGCCAGTGTGGGGACAGGGACACCCCCCAAACCCCCCGGGTCCCCCCCAGGGTGGTGCCACTCACCAGCAGGCTCCGGAGGTCCAGCAGATGTTCCTTCTGGAGGATGACCAGGGCAGCCATGC